ACGCTTGAGGTATTCGGCCAATCACAACGCACTGGATAGCTGGCCAATCAGCATACACCTTGCTTTTCAGAACAGTAAGCTTTGTAAAAATCGATGCATTTCAGAAAGGCGGGGCATAGAGGAAAAACAATAATGTACAGTATGTGGAAAATAATGTGTTTTTTGAACCTTAAACCACATAAACACATTGCATTACACCAAATACACAAAATAATGTTCTTTTTAGCAACGTCATATGACCCCTTTAAACGACTCTTTATGGTCAGAACATGACAAACACATTTTTTAATTCTTTACATTTTTCAAGCCATTTTCCCTTAGCAAAATAAATATCTTAATAGAAAAATAAATTTCTGAGTTTCTGCATGTTCTAATGAGTGATATTGTTTCAAATCATGAAACGGGTTTGTGTAGCCTGACTTTGATGATGCATATCTTCAGCACAGTTTGTAGTGCAGGCTGCAATATTAATATTACATTTTTTTGTCTCTTAGAAATGCACATTTGACAGTAGCTTGAGTTCACAGCTTGAGTTAGGATACAGATGTAAATTTATGTTCGTTATCAAAAACAGAAACATCTGTAAAAATGGTAACAACCTCATTTTTATATGGTGAAATTGAATTACTCTGACTGATTGTTTTATTAAAATTAACCATTGGTCTTCCATAGTAGGATACATTTAGAGCATGTTGTCTATATGGAACAATTTCCATATACACTGGAGTTGAGTGTTCATTAAGCATAAATACCGTTAAGGAAGTTTGCTCTAGTAGTCTAATTTACACGCACACACTCCTGCATCAAACAGAAAGTGAATTTGAGCTTTGGCCAGTCACAGAAAGTGAGATGTTGTTTTGTATTTTTCTTTTAGATTGTTTCAATAAACCTGTTTTTAAAGCATACTTCATGGTGTGGCTGCTGTTATTGCTTCTTTAGTCTAATTGCTACAACCTACACCGGCAGTGGGGTAGATTGTAATAAACGCACACCATGTATCTGACATCATCTTATAAGGGCTGTGATATTCTTGCAGAGGTTTGAATTGGTGCCTTTTGTAGTAAACAAATGTGGGTGCTTTGTATAAATGTTTGAACAATCTAGCTTGAAGATTCAGCTAGTTACAGATGCTGAAACAAAAACCCTAACAACATACAGCACACACACACTCACTCAAGCACCTCTGTAGTCTATTGACGGTTCAATTTCTTTTACCTCCACATATAATTTCACCTCATTCTCTCCATAAGCACAAGAGTTGATATGGAAGAGTGAAATCACAGCTAGAGGAATGGAATGACAGAGAAGGTTGTTCCAGCTCACCTGGTTATTGGCAGTTTTCAGTAGAGGTTGGGGGTCATTATGGGGCAGTGGTGAAGAGGTAGAACTATTTTCACTATCACTGCCGTCACTTAAACTCACCCTGCAAAATACGTGACAGATATTCACCATTCATTATCCCCTTCTGAGTATCCAGCTACACAGCATGGTATGCAGGCAAGGATATATAATTTTTTTCTTCCCCCTCTGCAGCCAGGGTTAGTTAGTTGGTAGTTTTTTTCATGGATATTTACCTGCGGTGGCGATGTGTCATCTGCGTGTGCAACGGTCGCTCCATGTCCGAGTCCATGTCATTATCGTCCTCCTCTTCCGAATCCTCTTCGATTTCATCTGAGTGCAAATCTGCGATCACCGACCGTAAAGGACCCAATACTACAGGTGAATAAGAAAGGCAAATGTCTACAAAAGCATTTATTTCTTTAGTGTAATATTTCAACATTGAAGTCATAAGATGCATTGCACGCTCACATCCAGTCAGATTTCTCTAATATTATTAAAATAAATTTATATATTGGTAGTAAAGTGTACTCTTTGGGTAAGAAAAGGGAATTGACACACTGACCCATAATAAGGCCAGGCTTTCTCCAAGCCAGCCAAAAGCAACAGGATGTGGCAAATATTGGAAAGGTTACCTTGCCGTTTGTGTGTGCGTCCAAAGCCGGAGCTCGAACTGGAACTGGAGCTGGCTGGACTGGGCTGATCCGACTAGGAAAGAAGGCAAAGTACCAACTCGATAAAAATAATAATACCAATATCAAAGCATTTTGGTTTTGCGTGCTCAAGAAGTCTGAGCATGAAATGATGTGGGAAATTAGCACTTTCTGCTTTTTGATATCTCCCAATATACCGGCTCTGTATCACATGACATTAACATCAAAAAGACATTTACTAAGCTTTGCACACTATTGCTTTTCTAATGACACAAAACTGGTTTTGCGGTCTTATAATTACAAATCCACGGTGAAGCTACCACAGGGGGCAATATTTAAAAAATATATATAACCAATTATAATTTATAATAAAATCAGTGACATTTTTCTGGCTCAAAAAGAAGAACAGTTGTAATAATAATAATAATAATAAATTAAGTAAATAAATGAATTAATTAAATACTGCATGGCACCTAAGAACACGTTAACTGACTCTGAAAGAGAACCAAATGCAGTTACTTGTGAGGCCATTTCCACGATCTTCTGTTCCACACTAGAGGCTTTGATGGATATTAGCGTCACTTCCTCACTGTAAATCAGTGGGTTCCTCGTTCACCCGACCTAATGAAGGCTGATTTATGGTCACACAGATCCCTTTGGGGCTATGCTCACACTAAAACTTCCTACTCGCACAGGACTCTTCACTTTGAGTGCAAAAAAAAAAAAAGCTATATAAAAAGTTAAATATGCAAAAGACACTATTAATCCAAATAATGTTGCTAAAATGGTCAGACTGTACTGAAAAATAACACCAAAACAGATTTTAGCTCTCCATACTGCTGGAAAATATGAATACTGGTCTTTGCCGTAAACGAAAACAAAAGTGAAGGGAATGAGACACTTATTCAGTTAGTAAGTCCATCAGGCTAAGGTGAAACTAGATTTAGTGGAGGCCTCTTTGAACCGTTGCATCTGTAGATTAATTGTTGAGGATCCCACAATTTATGAGGCACCTTTGAACTCGTAGGGCTATATCTCACTACAGAGCCAAGCCTCTCAGAACAATGGGACTGTGATTGATTGGATTCATGGAGGTAGCAGACGTGTTTTTAAAGGGCCCCTATTTGCTTTTAGAGACACATGCACCATGTTTACTGAAAATACCATTAAAATGTACCCAATCACATCTTGTGCTCTTTTCTGTATGAACAGTTATCCTTGTTAAAGACATGTTTAATCCAAGGTTTCTGGTTTTTATAAAGGTAAATTTAAGACAATTTCTACACCTTTTTAAAGACAAATTAAAGAAAATTTACAGAATAAATATATATGTTTTCTAAATGTAAATGTTTATGAAGCCCAATGAGTTGTATTAGCAACACTTTCAAGTAAAAAAAAAAAAAAAAAAAAAAAAAAAAACTGACAGATTTCCATTACTTCTTGATTAATGAAAATGGCTTAACTGTGATGGAAATAACTTTTATTGTACCTTCCGATGACATGATGTTCTTCCTTGAATATTTTTGTCTTGTTTTCCAATGTCTAAAGATTCATAAATAAAGATGACATAAGATAAAGACAAGAAGTCTTGTTTTCTGATAAACTGTTAAAAATGAAGTGAGTTTACGATTAAAACGAGAACAAATATCTGCTGATGGGCTCAGAAAAGTTACTTAATTTAAAGGAAAAACAAGTTTCTATTCACCATTGACAGATATTTGTTCTTGTTTTAAGCATAAACTCACTAAATTGTGACCCTGGACCACAAAACCAGTCAATTAAATGAAGTTCTTAGCAATGCATATTACTAATCAAAAATTAAGTTTTAATATATTTACGGTATGAAATTTACAAAATATCTTTATGGAACATGATCTTTACTTAATATCCTAATGATTTTTGGCATTAAAGAAAAATCTATAATTTTGACCCATACAATGTATTTTTGGCTATTGCTACAAATATACCCCAGCGACTTAAGACTTCTTGTGGTCCAGGGTCAAAATTGTGTTCATTTTCTCAAAATAAGTCATCTATATAAATAAGTCTAAAAGAAAATAAGTCATTATCTATTTCTTCATCAAGGATGTTTAGATATTTGTATTGGAACACAAGACAAAAATACTGAGAAAGATATCCTTTTTTCTTTCCCTTTTCTGATATCCATTTTTCTTTAAATGCAAATGTTCTTTCACAGTCATTAGCAACTTACTTTAGCTCTGAAATATTTTTAAGAGCAAAATAAGATATTCAGGATATATTATGGTAGGACATGAATTGAACCATCAGGAATTGTGAAGAGTGGGTGTTTGGCAGTAAATGCTGCTGGTACGTCAAGTATGAAATTATTACATTTCTTTGGAATAACTGATGTTCAATGCACAATAAGACTAGGAGTGTGCAATAAGAAAATACATATGACCAATTTTGATTTCATGTTCACTTAAACCTTCTCCAAGACTGCCTCTCTTGTGCAACAGTGATACAGTATGGATGTTATATACTTTTCAGCACAGTCTGCAATTAAATGTGTCCACCTGCCACTATGAAAATTTAAGGGGGTCTGAATACTTTCCGTACCCACTGTATATATACACACGCAAATTCACATCCATGCTGCTTTCCGAACAAATAAAGGTCATTAAAATCAATAATCATTATTCATATAGCATCAACAAAAGAGAAGGTTAGCGTGGTCCTTGCTAAGAAAACACTTTCAAAGAGAGGCTCTTGTGAAAACAGCCTGTTCTAACAGAGCAAAATGAATGAAATGATGTTCTTTTAAAATTACATTCAGTATAACAAAGATGTGAGCTGTAAGTGGAGCGAATTGGACTGATTAACTGCAATCCACAAAGACTTCCTGACCAAATGGAGGTATAATACAAATCAGGCTTATTGTTGCAAATGGGGCCGAGGATAAAAGAGTAAGAAAGGCGCTCGGTTACAATTGCTTTCCTGACTTTCCACTTGGCTCAAGTTTTGAGGTTTAAAGTTACTTTAAAGTCCACTCTGTTTTTCTTCACTGTACTCATGTTAAGTTTAAATTTGTACTCTAGTTGGATACACATTTTACAAGCTTGCTGAAATTGCATGGGGTGGAGGAACATTTTGAGCACTCAGGAAAAAACCAGCAAGGAAGTTCAATGCAAAACTATTAACCTAATTCCTCTTGGAGAGCGGCCCGAGAGGAAATCTAAAGAAGCTATTAAAGTTAATCTGAATTAATTTGTTTACATTCTTCTCTGATGAGCACTTGGTGAAACTGAATCGGGTCTCTTGAACAAAATGGTCAAGCAGAAGCCATTCAGCTCCTCAGCGAATGGAGAAATTGAGTGTGGGATTTATAACAGGGCTAGTACAGTGATTAATGGTTAAGAAAGGTTTCAGAATACTCTTGGGAAACATTGGCTAACGTTGTCTATTCAGTCGAAACAGGCCATGAGGATGCAAATTAGATCACTCTGTCCTCTTTCTTGCAATCTTCACTATACTACAGTGAAACCATGGTACACTGACAATGGTACTTCTTAGTGAGGATGAGGTCAGTTTAGTAATGCTTGCATTACTATTACTCATACTTGGGGTTAGTGGCTTACACAAACCTCAAACTCAAGCATTAAACTTTGATGCTTTTTTTATGGACGTACATTATACTTAAAAAGCTTGGGGTCTGTAAGATTTTTTTAAAAGAAATAAATACTTTTATTCAGCAAGGATGCATTATATTAATCAAAAGTGACTGTAAAGACTATAAATGATGTTCTATTGAACTTTTTAATTCATCAAAGAATCCTGGAAAAAAGGATCACAGTTTCCACAAAAAGGAAACTTTTATTGGGAAACACAACTAATTTCAACATGGATAATAACAGGAAATATTTCTTGGGCAGCAAATGAGCATATTAGAATGATTTCTGAAGGATCATGTGACACTTTTACAATATGTAACATTTTACAATATTACTGCTTTACTGTGTTTTTGATCAAATAAATGCATTTTTGGTGAGCATAAGAGACTTCTTTATTGATAACCTCATATTTTGGGGCTTCCTATTACTTTTCTAAGCACTTGGAATAAAAATGTATGTTGTATACGGTGAAATGGGCGAGGGGAAAAAAATCCCACAAACTAGCTATGAATGAGAGCCATATTTAGGAATTTGGATATCAGAGAGAATTAGCAACTACAAATAAACAAATAAATAACCAACAACCATCTAGCAACCATCTACAACATATTAGCATCAGGGCGGTGAGTTATGTTTGAACAAACAACACTCACTCACCTTTGGTAAATGTAGAAATCTAGTTAGAATTTCTAGGCTGTTTTTGTCTTATCGACTTGCTATGCCCTTACTTCAAAATTACGGTTACTGTGCAAAACTACAGTAATTTCCAAACTCTCCTTTCCAAACAACGTGTTCAACCCATCTCCTCATACAGCACCCGCCTAAAACTATTCACTGCAGGCATCATCACGGTGCCTTAAACCTAGAAAAATACTGCAACGAATCGATGGCAGAATATAACAGTGCGCTATAAAACTGTTACGGCTCACTCACTCGACTGGGGGTGACAGTGGTGCTAGTGAGAGTTGCTGGCAGGGGGCAGGTGCTAAAAATCTCCCGTGAAGCGAGTTGACAATAGGGGCTGCCAAAACTCCTGCAAGCAGGGTGGTAAAGACACTTAACTTCAACCCCTCGCCGAGCCTGTGGAAGAGCAAAGTTGTTACTTTGAAGTTCCTTTCCCTTCATTCTCATCGTTTTTTTCCCTTCTTTCTTTTTTCTTCAGTCTGCATTTTACTGCCTGTTTGTCCATCTGGGAGCCTGGCTGACATCAAACGCATGGTCAGGGTTCTGCACTGTAAATCAAGCCGCCTTTCTACTATGGGCCGCACCCCTCTTCCCAAACTAGACGCTTGTAAAAGCTCATCTAAGAAGCCCTGCACCCCTTAGACAATAAAACTGATGTCATCACTCATGAGGAAAGGTTCGCAGGTCTTTAAGCATGAAGATCATCTGGAGTGTTTGGGTTCAGACGCCTGAGAACATGAAGAGAGGAAGAGAGCGCCTTGCTGTCACCCAAACTTGAGTAATGGCAGAGCTGTGGCTATGCAGTAAAATGCTACATTACTTTTTTTTTTTAGAGCTAATGAAAAAGCAACTTCCATTAACATGGACACGGTTTGCAATTTGCGGTGACATGCAGACCACCAAACTAAAACGATGGGCTAAACCAGTAGAGCTCCGAACACACACACATATGAATTATTAAACAAGGAAATGTCTGTTAAATGCTGTTACAAGACTAAATGTGGTGCTTCAATGGTGTGGCGTTTACAGACGTGTGTCAGCACCAGTGCTGGGTAGATTTCTTGCAAATTGTAGTCGGTTACTGATTCCAAATTACATGACAAACATTGTAGTTAGTAACGTAATCCATTACATCGGACTACTTTTTGATTACTTTTAGATTACTTTCGACCTGACATGTTTATCACATGACTTAAATAGGATAATCTTGTATCATATTGACATAAAAAGACTTTGACTTTTCTATTTTAGAAAAAAAAATTAAAAGATGAAAAAGAAGAATCAGGGAGAATTAATAAATGACAAATAATGAATGGCTAGTGTGTGAAAAATATGTAATCAATAAATAAGTATCTGTATAGTCTGATTAAAAGTATTTTAAAATGGAATATAATCAAATTACAAGTACTTCGTTTTTGGAATCTGATTACATAATCCAGATTACATGTAATCAGTTACTACCCAGCACATGATATATAGTTGTCATCAAACATTTATATGAATTATGATTGTCAAAAGAATCACTCAAACTCTTTTTTTTAACCGATTATGGACTTAAATGTCAATATGCTCATAATGACTCTTCAAAAGTCTGTATTTCGGTAAAATGCTGCAATAAACACAAAAATGAAAGATGAGCTTTACGAGTTCAGTAGAGACAAAGCAGGTGATCACTAGCAGCACCCCACAGCTGGTCTGTGGCTTTACGACCATCGCCTCTGCTGTGGTGCCATAAATCTAGCAGTGGCTCTGAAACTGGCAATTGCTCTGCTTTAGGACTATTGTCTCATTCCAATCAAGCACATGAAGCTCTTCTCTTACAGAGGACGTCATATAAACAGATTTTAGGATTGGGTTACATCTACCCCCCACTAGCCTTTTACTCTGTGTAATATATATGACAACATGCGTTTGGAATTTGGCAAGTGACTGCAGCACTTAACTTCCATTACTTAAATTTATCTTGTTAAGTACAGTGTTATTTTAGCATTATTTATATACTATTACAGTATTCATTTTTTGAATTAGCTTTTATTTTTATGTTTTAAACACACACACCAGAAAACTAACAGCAGAACATTAAGTATATTATTCATCTACCTGTGCATTTAATCAGTCTATCCACTTATGCTTGCTAGCTATGGTCTAAAAGGCTAGAAAAAACCCAAGCAAGACCATAACCATAACTACTATTACAACTAAATGGCATATGTATAATATAAGTGAAGAAAATTCCCTCACTTCCTCGAACATTTATGAAAAACTACCTTATATTTACTATGGTTTACTATTCAACCATAGTAAGACCCATGGTAAATTCTGAGAAATCTGTTATTTTTAGGATAAGACGCTCACAACAGGACACTTACTAAGTAGCAGTTTACAGAATCAACAAGAGATGCTGCTGACAGCAACAATGTTAATTATCCATCAAACTGTCCATTTAGCATTCATTGTCCATTCTGTTTTTTAAAATAAAACTTGATCATTATTCACTAATGCTTGTTACAGTTCTGGCCTAGAAAAGTGTCTAGAAAAAAAGCAAAGGCTTTCCTTTGCTGCAATTTTCCTCTTTACTGTCCTTCTAAAGACAGAAATAGACTGTGTGAATGTTAGTGGTAATGCTGATCAGGGCCTTACAGACCTGGTGACCCAAAGAAAGCAGCACCTGGAATACATCAGCTGTCATAAACACTGAAGTTTCTTTCCTTCCCTTTTTTTAAAGGAGTGAGTTTAAAGGAAAACTCTTAGCTATTCATGGTGTCCTTTCCCATTCTCCTTGGGTGTCATAAAACCATAAATTTCATCTCAGCACTTGCCTTCAAGCCAATAAAACAGCCCCCGTTTTATGAGCTGCTCTCTTGCTGAAGGTAAATGAACCTTGCCACTGGTGACACTGCTGAAGCTAAAAACATTCTAGATCTATACGAACTACTATAACTACTACTATTACTATCTTCAAAATGATATCAAAACTAAATTCACTGACTAGGCAATTGGCAGGTGAGCAGCACAATTTAGCCTGCTACCTTGTAACTGGCCCTCCTCATGTCTGACAGCGTTTCAATCCAAAACACACAATCCACAATACGATGAAATGAAACTGGAACAACATCAGTCCTTTTGTTTTGAACAAAACCATAACAAACTAAATAAGGAGCCTTTGACCAGCTACCAGAATTCCTGTCCTGAAGAGCCGAGAGGTCTAGCAATGGACAGCACTGATTTTCTGCGCCTAACGCACACAAATGGCCCCCTCAGCTTCTGGACACCCACCAAGTTTATTAGATCCCCTCTCGCACCAGACCGCCATTATTACAGCCCTCTAAGAGCCTGTCTCAACCTCTCTGTTTGATAATTACAGAGAACCCCACGTCCCAGAAAAGGTCTCTGCTAATAGTCAACCACATCGTTCGAACACAAAAGCTCACACCAAAGACTACTGAAATTCATTGTACTTTCCCATAGGATTGGTGGCACGATAGATTTTTGCCAACTTATACAATGAATATGGATTGAACTAGAGATGCAAAATATTAAAATTCAGATAAATACCATTTGGCAACTATAACCAATTGAGAAAAAACAGGGACTAATTTTCATGTTGTTATGTTCCAGCATAATGATTCGAAATTCACTTACGTCTGATCTAGTGAACATGTTGTCATCCATGTCCGAGTCATTCGGGTCCAACACATCCTGGAAGGGCGGTAATGCTGACGGTTTTCTTTTCTCTGAATGTTCACTGTTTTGTAACCTACTATGCCGGACTTGCGGCTTGTCTTTCAAAACCTTTTTATCCGAATGGCGATGCTGTAGCAAGGTAGGACACACTTGCTGCTTCTGCGAGCTCTCTGAAAAACTGCTTTTCCGTTTTTTGGTAACATGGCCTTCACTGTCCAACACAGGCCGCCGTCTACTCTGTCCCAAGCTTGAGAAGCTACCCTCCGATGAATGTTGCTCCTTCGATGTGGTCTTGGGCTCCTTGAATCCCATTTGGGGAACGGGGCGATCTTCCTGAATTGGTTGATTCTCTTTGGGTTTTTTAGAATCTTTAGAGAGTTTTCCAGAGCCCTTGCTGAAATCTCTGAAGGCACTTTTGGACTCTTTTGAGTCTTTGGAAGGCTTGTCCTTATGGTCCTTAGACGGCTTGTGGAGTTTGAGGGAGCTGCTGCTGATATTGTTTGTGGTTGTAAGAGCACTGCTGCTTTTGGACCTGTCCTATAATGAAAATATGACAATATTAGGAAAGATATAGCCACTTAATTTGAATTTTATGCTGATTTCATTCATTTATAAACCTTAACAAAAAAGTACTGTGACAGCACCATTTTATAGTGATGATATGATAGTACTTATGATAGTACATTACCCTTAAAAACGTTTGGACCAGTATTTATTTATAATTTTTTTAAGAAATTGACTTCCATTCAGCAAGGACATTAATTTAACCAAAAATGACAATAAAGAAATTTATACTTTTACAAAAGATTTCTATTTCAAATAATTTCTGTTCTTCTGAACTTTCTATTCAACAAATGTTTCCACAAAAACATTAAGCAGCACAACCATTTTTAACTGTTTTAAGAAATGTTTGTTGAGCTCCAAATCAGCATATTAGAATGATTTCTGAAGGATCATGTGACACTGAAGACTGGAGTAATGATGCTGAAGATTCAGCTTAATTCAGCTTAATTCAGAATAAATTACATTCTACAATATATTAAAATATAAAATAGTTATTTTAAATTGTAATAATATTTCACCATTTTACAGTTTTAACTGTATTTTTTCATCAATAAATGCAGCCTTGATTAGACATTAAAAGATTTTAAACGAACATTAAAAAGTCTTACCGACCCCAAACCTTTGAATGGTAGTGTACACCACAGCATTAATGCCATATTCATATACCATAGTATTTACATGGTCAAAATCCCATTGCTATACATTTTGTTAATATAATGAAGAACAATATATAAACTGCTATAAATATACAAATATTCAACTTTCCTTCCATTATAATCGACAAATGATATGTGTGCTCAGGCAAACAACCAAACCCAGATGTGAAACATTTCCATAAACAATTTTTCAGAATGATCCTGAAAATAATTCCACTGGGGGAAGGGCAACCTCAGAGCTATCTGGGAGGCAAGCTGAGGATGAAGCAACAAGCCTTTGGTTGACTTTAATGGCAGGCTTATCCTATCTTCAGGTCAAGCTAACTAGCCCCTGCCAATAAGTCATTGATGCAGTTAAGTCGTTAAGAAGTCTAGACAGTTACAACCTGCCTTCAAAATTTTCAACCATAACATTAAATTAAGTGGAGGAAGGGCAGAAGGACAACAAAGCACAGACTGTCGTTTTTGTTTTTGCTAAAGCGACCGGTGTAGTAGTGCAGGGGAGGCTGGCTGCAATCGACCCTTGATCTGTCAGTAATCCATCACACACAAGGGCCTGTTTGGATTGGGAACTGTTTCCATGTGCACCGGGGACTCTCGTAACTTCACTGTTACACAGAGCTAGTGTACAAAACAAGTTGCTTAGCAACTAAGTAATATTGCACAGGATACTTGAAATAAATTTAAATCAAAGAAACGTGGCATTGTGGAGTCAAGCAAGATTTACTAGCATTATGGCTAATGTGGTTTAATAGATGCACGAATAAAAAGCTGCAGCGTCTCAGGTTTTCCCACACAAAACCAATAGAAATTGCACTAATTTATTTGTTTCTTTTAAAAATTATTGTTTTCTTTATTTGAAACGCCATTACAGGCAGATTAACAAGAGTGCTTTGGAAAACTGCAAATGCGGTATTGTATGACTAGATACGAATCTTTTCGCACATGCAGAGCACCGTTGTAACACCTGGCGAGTTCGTTTACGTCATCGGAATGCTAGCATGTGCTTTCTCAGCAGCCAAGAAATGCTCGACTTAAACCAAGTTTCACATCTCTAAAATCCTTGGAGTTAAATAGTCCCTAACGTCTTTCCACTTGCCAAATATGCAGGATTAAGCAGGACTCCTTGGAGGAACTGGGAAATTTTTAAATGCCGAACAAAGTCATGCAAAGTTTTCTCAAAGTTCAGACTCTCAAAACACGGAGATCCACACTCACCTTTGACCCTGGGAAAGACTTGCTCTTTTTCACATCAGAGAAGGTCAATGTTAATGAGCTGCTGGGTAATGTGGGCAGCTTTAGATGCTGCCCGAACAGAGAAGTAGAGCCCTCCTGCATTACCATTACCTAAGAAATTAAAGACAATGAAAACTGCGATAATCAATTAAATGCATATTGTAACTGCATTCCAAGATGTTATTTACTGCAAATCTTCATCTCTGTTTAATTCATAACTTTCAATTTCTTGATCGAACATAATATATACTACCGTACAAAATTTTCAGCTCAAGAGTAAGATTTTATTGAAAGAAATTAATTTTATTTAGCAAGGACACACTAAACTGATCAAAAGTGACAGTACAATAATTTCAAATAAAGGCTGTTTTTTTTCAACTTGAAAATTGAGCTTTGCCATCACAGGAATAAATTACATTTTAAAATGTACTAAAAAGGAAAATAGTTATTTTAAAGGGGTCATATGATGCTGCTAAAAAAAAACATTATTTGGTGTATTTGATGTAATGAAATGTCTTTATGCGGTTTAAGGTTCAAAAAACACATTATTTTCCACATACTGTACATTATTGTTTCTCCTCTATGCCCCGCCTTTCTGAAACGCGTCGATTTTTACAAAGCTCATCGGTCTGAAAAAGCGAGGTGTGCTGTGATTGGCCAGCTATCCAGCGAGTTGTGATTTTCTTTATGCACCAAGAGCTTGTAACACTCCAAAGAGAAAGGAAAAATTGAAATCGCATCATATGACCCCTTTAAATTTTAAGAATATTTCACAATATATCACTTTTTTTTTTTTACGGTTTTTGATTTTTTAAAAAAGCATAATAAGAGACTTATTTAAAAAATATATATTTTTAAAATCTGTACAATCCCCAAGCTTTCAAATGTTATTATATGCTAGAATCTGTTTTTCACACAAAGCAAGGAAAAGGAAAGTTGTTTCAGATGCAAAGCGAGTTATTGTATTTTGAAGATTACGACAATAGCATTTCTGTCAGGACCACTATCGTCAAAATGATAGATACTTAGCATAAAGTTTGGTTTGGCGGTATGGTTCTGTTCTGGGCAAAAACCTCCCTGCCCATCCATGCAGCCTGTCATGAATGAGCAGGGAGAGCAGCAATAATAACCCCCCTAGGGTTAACAGAACAGAACAAGGCAGATATCATTAATGTACTTAATGATATTTAAGTGTAACACTTTATTCAAGATAAAGGAGTCTGATTAGCAAGGAATATCAGAAAGCCAAGTCCTGACTGTGGCGAAAGGAGGAGCTGGGGATGGAGGAGGGTAATTTGCTCCGGAGCAGGCTGAAAAGCTGCTGAATAATACTGAATAGAGCTTATATAGGAATGCCGCGATAGGTGTCGTATTCCTATAGGTAGATATGATCAGCTGAGAATCAGCTGATGCAAGCTTGACTCACGTGACCTGCCAGAACTAACACTAA